AGAGGGGGAAGGAGAAGGAAATGGAGAAGATGGATGCTATAAATTGCACATTTCCTTAAAATGCAAGGATAAGTCTAGCTTTTCTGGTTGTATCCAGCCTTTCACCCTGTTCCCTTTTACCCATCCATTATTCATTTTATTACACATTCATTTTTACTTCAACTTTCCCCTCAGCTCTCCGCCCCCGCAAAAAAAAAATAATAATAATTTGGACCAGCTTCACATGTTCACTTAAAAATATCTTCCAAAAATTCTTACAATACTCATCTTTATCAATATAAAAATACCAAAAAAGTTACATTTTCTATAATTAAAATGTGTTACCTTTACTCATAGAAAATTTTAATTTTAAAAATGAATTATACTAGTCAAGAAATAAATTCAGTGGATGCATGACTGAAGGAAAAAATAAATATAACTTCTAAAACTTGGAGATGTCATTTCTGAATGCCACATGAGATCTTGCAATGCCTATGGGCCTTTATGGGTGTAAAATTTTGGGGCATTCAGAAGGGAAGAGGTGCACTAGAGAGACATCGGCTAGCACTAAAGACAGTTCAAGGTGCTGAATGGAAAAATAACGCGTTCTACTCTACATGGAAATCAGTGGCCATAAGGAGCTAGGGAATCTCAAGATATCTTCCATTGGTCTTTGGAATGGACCACTCCATAGAAGAATCTGGATCATTAAACTGTGGACAACTTGAGGACAAGGACTTTATGCTTTCCTCCCTACTGGCATTATTCAATATAGAGCCTCTAGCGCTTAGTAAATATTTGTTGACTGAATGAAAGTACATTTCTTGTTGGTCTTTACTGGGTAAGACTATGGATTTCCCCTGTGCAGGATCTCCAGTGAAGAACAGTTTAATTGGCCTCAGTCTCAAAAGCCTTATCCCCCAGACCCTGCCTGATGGCTCCATACATGGGTTCTCAACATTTATCACCTTCACTTTAGCAGAAGAGAGGTGGATAGCATTATCTCCCAGGGACTGCAAAAAATCCACATCCATACGGTTGCTTGTGGCAGCCTGATGAACCAAGAACTTCTGAATGATTTCATCACTATACTTCTCAAAGCCTGAGTCAAAGATAAGCTGGCCATTTGATCCAGGAACCAAGTAGCGAAACATTGTGTTGATCTGACTACAGCTGATGTTAGTAAGCAAGGCCAACTGTTGCATCAGCTCTGGCAGTAACCCTTGAAGCTTCTTCTGATTTTGCCTTGTGGGAGTGGAGATATCGATTCCTACAGACAAATCTAGGTTGCATCCTTTGAAGGCAGAGGAGAAAAAATAAAATTAGTCATCTATAGATGCATGACCAGGCCCAGAAGATATCAGCCAAGACTGCCCTGAAAAAAGAACCCCAAAATACCCATAGAAGTATAAGCTTAATAATGGCTGTTGTTTAATTTAGGGGATGGTTNAGAAGTATAAGCTTAATAATGGTTGTTGTTTAATTTAGGGGATGGTTTGTTATACGGCAAAAGCTAACTGATACAATAGACATTGTTTCATACCGCTACACTCTGCAATCCTATTCCCTCTACCTGAAGTGTTCTTTCCCATCCCCTCAACCCCAGTCTGGTTAACTCATACATATCTTTCAAGTAGCAGTTTAATAACCCCTTCTCTAAAGCTCTTTCTCACTCAAGTCCTCAACTCCTCAAGTTGAATTATCAAATGCCTCTGATTTACTTTACTTGACCTTCTACCACCAAATGAGGATTCCTTGATAGTAGGACTATATCATCTTACTTTCCCAGTAACCTAATACAGATAGATGCTCGTTAAATATTTGACAAATGAAAAAAGAAGGGACTAGAAGTGAGCCTTGAGTCTCTTTCAGCATGAGCTGTACTATTTCTTTTTCCCCTGGAAGTTGTCTTCCTCATTCATCACCCATGCATATACCTTGTTTCAGGGGAGCATATTAGAAAAGACCAGGACTGACGATCTCTCCAATTTTCTGTTTCTTCTACCTGAAAACTTGTAAGCCCTCTTGGAAGGGTGTAGCTAGAATTTGAACTTTGATCTTTCAGTCTATAGCCACACACACACATATAAAAAAAGACTATCCACAAAATTCTACTGAAGAGGTAAAAGTTGATGGTCACAGATGCACCTAGATTAGAATCTGAATGAATGACTTAACATGTAACTTATTGCCCATAAAAGGGCCACTATTATTAATTACTTCTGGAAAAACATAGCTTGGGACTGTCCAGGGCAAACCAGGACATGTGGACATTTTCTCCTTAGACTAGCACATTTTAGAGTATTTGGCTCAGAATCAATTAAAACAAAACTGTGTATTTGGGGGTGGGGAGCAATTTTGAGAAAAATAAATACTGGACCCATCACCAGTGAAAAGTGTTATAAACAGTGACTTACAGTTTTTCAGGGACCTGAGATCCAGGGGTGAGCCATGAGTTTTCTATCCCCTAAATATCATACTCTAGGCTAGCTAGCCAAATATGTTTCTAGAGTTGCCAAGATAGAAAATGCCTCCCTCCCTTCCTTTCATATAAAACCTCTTGGTTCTGTTTTTATTTTTTTTAAATCCTAACCCAAGGATGTGTTTATTGATTTTAGAGAGAGTGGAAGGGGGGAGAGAGAGAGAGAGAGAGAGAGAGAAAGAGAAAGAGAGAGGGAGGGAAACAATAATCAGTTGCCTCCCATACAAGCCTGATAGGGGATCGAACCCATAACCTAGGTATGTGCTCTGACTGGGAATCAAACTGACCACCTTTTTGGTGTGTGGGGCGACACTCCAACCAACTGAGTCACCAGGCCAGGGCTTGTTTTGATTTTTAAATCTCTAATTGAAATTCACCAAAAGGAGTTTCCACAGATGTAAATCCCATTTCTATATAGAATCTGAATTCAGGAAAAAAATAATTTCCTTTTTGAGGTATGGTATATTATTCCAACATTTCTAATTTACTGCTTCCACAGGGACATTTTCAGCTGACTTTATTCTGTAATGCAAGGAGCATTTTCTTTCCCTGTTAATGGAGAGGGCTTTAACCTTGCCAGATAACCGCTAAGGTCTTTATGATTCAGCTTTATGATTCTAGAAGTCTAGAATTAATTAGATTCCAGCTATTATTAAAGTATCCAGCTAATTTTCTCAAAAAAGTCAAAGGACAAAGCTGAAGATAAATATAAATCCTAATTTACTGCACAGTGCAAAATGAATTGAAAAGAGAAGCTGGAATCCTGTATCTCTTTTCCTCTCCCAGATAATACCCAGGTGCATATGAACACAAAAATAGGACTTTAATTTCTAAAGAATCTGAACTGCTTAATGCAGGACATTCCATAACCCATGTTTACTTAAAACATGTTATACACATGCACTCTTTTCAATTGATTTCTGAGTTCACCAAGGATACTGCAAAGTGATATTCTTTAGACACTATAAACAAAAATATTAATTTAATGCTCTAGAAAATTGCCTCCAGCTTTTGACACCAAACCGCTGGGAAGTCAAACCCTGCCTCCATTATTTCACATCTGTGTTTCTTAACCTCCTTTGTTTTTCTCATGATTATATGGAAACTGAATATCGTAATAATGCACATGCTTCACATAGCGTTGATGCAGGAATACTGGGCTTATGGGTTCCATTATATACTCTCCTATATGATTCCATACTATACTATATATACTTCACTATATTATATATACATTACTATAGCATATTATACCATTTGATGCCATTCTATGCTATTCTATACTATACTACTATTGTTAGAGTAGGTAGCAAGATATTATTTTTATAAAAGGAGCAAATGGAATTAGACATTATTAAGCATAATCAACTAGGGAGCATACGCCTGTTTAACCAGGAAGCTACAGTTTTACACACTCCAGGGGATAGGAGCATTGGCCCACCAAGAGGATTATCACCCCTCCCTTCCCCCATGTAGGGAGCAGCCCACCCTTGGTACTGGATTGTGGTGGGGAGGGAAGGCTGGGAGAAACAGGGGAGGCAAGCACATGCACAGTAGAAGTCCAAATGGCTAAGTGGGACTTAAAGTACAATTACTCACTTGTTTGTGGTGATATTGGTGTAAGCAAACACACTGCGCTACCATTCCTATAAAAGGTTAGCACCTACAATTACAGTAGTGAGATATACCATCTAGGTTTGTGTAAGCGGACTCTACGACATCCACAGGAAGATGAAATCACTAAGGATGTTTTTCTCGGAAGCTATCCTCATTGTACAAATTGGTAGTTATAGAATAGCCACGGGGATGTAAAGTACAGTATAGCGAATATAGTCAATAATATTCTAATAACTATGTATGGTGTCAGATGGGTATGAGATTTATCATAATTTATATAATGTTTAATCACTGGAGTGCATACCTGAAACTAATATAATAACGTATGTCAACTCTAACTGAAAAATATTAAATGATTTTTTTAATAAAAGAAGGTATCTTTGTCGTTAAGTGACACATGATTATATCATACTATATAACACTCTTCTATATTATACTATGTTTCATTATGCCATATGATACTAGCCTCCTGCTCAAAGTATGATTTGAGAACCAGCAAGATCAGCATCACCTGGGAGCTTGTTAGTAATACAGAATCTAACCCAGAACTACTGAATCATAACCTGCATTTTAACAAGATCTCCAGGTGAATCAAATGCATGTTAAAGTCTGAGAGGCCCTGTTATGCCCTACTCTACTACTATACCAAAAGGCAATATGAAACAGTATTTAGTGCACAAACTCTAGAACCAGACTTCCTCAAGTTCAAATCTCAGCTTTGCTATTTACTTGGGCCAAATAACCTGATTTTCTGTGCCTTGCTTTCCTCATCTGTAAAATAGTATTTGTTCAATAAGGCTATGTGAAGATTTAATTTTTTAATATATGGAAGCCCTTGGAACAGCCGCTGGCACAAAATAAAACACCATCTAAAGGTTAGCTATCCTAATTACCATATGGTTTGCTGTAGAGTCTCACTCCCTGTCTGAAGAAGAGACAGTCATCCATGAAGGTATTCTCTGGGTCAATCACTGCCACTGAAAGGCAAGTCTTGAGATAAGATCAGAAGAACAGACTCAGACCATTATGAAGAGGAACACTTGTCTCTGGACCTTGCTGTTTTGGATAAAAGCTTGAGGAGATAAAAATGGGATTGAGGATGACCTAGGCCATATGGAAGCAGATTAGTGACAAAGTGGAGAGACACCTGTACAGAGCCACATAGAAAAGAGTGTGTTCTATTTCATATGAACTACTACCTAACCGATTATTCTCTGCTTCTATTTCCCTTTCGATATGCCCAAATCTTCAGTAAGCTCTGTTTATGCATTCCAGTCTGGTTTCATCCATCTACAAGGAATGAAGGTAATAGTTGTGAGGACTTCCTAGAGACAGAATTCTGAGGAAGTTCAGGTCTCTGGAGGCCAGAGTGGAGACAGCGAGGGAATGATTTAAAAGAATCCCCAGGGGAAGGTGAACCACAGTATTAGGAGTTCAGTCCAGTTGTCCTCTCCACAGGTGACCTTCCTTCCCTCCCCCAGCTAGAAGGATCAGTTTTACTTTAAGAGAGCCAACTGGGTCCCTGACAACTCTGATGGGCTTGCAGATTAAATAACAAATACTTTGTCACTCACCTTCTGGAATGCAGACCTTATAAAGAATTTCCTTCTCCAGATTCTGCAGAGACTCAAAATTTTCTTCATGGTACACTTTGCCAGGGTCATTAGTAATCTCCAAAAGCTGAGAGCTTTTGGCTTCTCCCACCCCAATGGCAAAGATAATTATGTTTCTGTCCCTGAGGGCCTTGGCTGGTATGGCTACATTGTCCTGGGAGACCCCATCAGTGATCACAATCAAATACTGATGAACACTGGGTCTCCCTCCTCTTGAACTGCCAAAAAACGGCAGGGTGAAACTCAGGGCTTTCCCAGTGCGGGTGCCATCATTCATCTGCTGAACATTTGAGATGGCTCTGTGAATATCCACCTTTAAGGAGTATTGGTTGAGTCTGAATTCTTCCTGGGGGGTGGTGCTGAACTGCAAAAGGCCGATCTGAGTTTCATCAGGACCGATATAAGATAGATTCACCATCCTCTTCATGAATCCCTTCATCTTTTCAAAGTCTTTTGGGGAGATGGATTCTGAACCATCTATCAGAAAGATGATGTCAGCTTTCTTACTCTTACAGTCTGGGGGCGGAAAGGAACAGAACAGAACATTCACTCAGAGACTGAAACCAATTAATTACAAGTCCTCAGAGACAATCTGAGGTGGTATATATACAACATAAAAATATTTTTAAAGGGGGTGGAAGAGGAAGTCAATGAAATAAATTTTCTATGACCCAGCACAAACTATCTCGAAATAGACACAGCTGTATGATAAAGACATAAAAGTTGACCGGCTTGGTTCATTCCAGGTCACGGTCATTCTGTGTCCAATACTCCCTTATGGACTAGTGAATCCACACTTCAAGAAGGAAGCTTATTCTCATGGAATAGACATATATATTTGGAGAGAGAGAGACTGAAGAAAAAATTCTTACTCTCTGAGGAGCAGATGCTTTGTACCACTTCTTGTTGGATGGCCTTCAATGAATCGAACTCGTGCACGAAAAACATCTTGTCTTTAGCTATCTCCTTAAGCTCAGTGGTGTTCGCATCTCTGACCCCAACAGCATAAAGGATGACTCCGACTCCCCTCAGTGCCTCTGCAGCCTCAGCCACCGGGTCCTCAGACTGACCGTCAGTGATGACTATGAGATACCAAGGCACGCCTCGGCGAGCAGTGTCTGCAAAGATCTGGGCCATGTTACTCAAGGCCTCGCCGGTCATGGTGCCGCCTCCCCTCTGCTGGATGCCATCGATGGCTACCTTCAGTCTTGCCACGCTGAGATACTGGCTAAGGATGAACTGACTGTAGGTTCCATCTGAGTACTGAACCACTCCAAACTGCACTCTGTCGGGCCCGATGTGGAACATCTTTACCACCTCATTCATGAACACCTTCATTTCAAGAAAATCGTCTTGTCTGATGCTGCCAGACCCATCAATAAGGAAGTAAATGTCTGCCTTCTCGACGTGCATACAGCCTAGACAATAAGCAGCAGCAGCAGCCCGTTAGAACCCAGGTGAGATGGCGAGTAGTCCCCAGCAGAACCAAGCCCCAGCTGCTACAGCAATAACCTGCCCACTAACTCAGCCCAGGCTGGCTGCCACCCCTTCCTCTCTCATCTCCACTCCCCGGCCAGTGGGCCCCAGAGTGATCTCCAGGATAAATCATTTACAACCAGATTCTTGTCCCACAGTTGGTTTCTGGTGAACCCCACTTGAGACATTTACTAAATGTTACTTGACATTTCTTAAACGGGGAAGTTGAGAACAAGCTAAAAGTAAAATATCAGAGCATATTTGACGCTGTGAATTATCTCCGTATCTAATATTCCTGCTTCCCACGCAAGTCACACTTTTTAAAATATATGAACACTTTCTTAAATTTAATTTAATGTAATTACTTTAAATGAACTTAAAACTTTCTGCTTTGGATCCTGTGTCCACCGCTTACTAGCAGGCTTAGTGAGTTTATTGTGAGGATTAAATAAGAGTATGGAAACATAGCAGAGCTGAGTATTAAAAATTCATGTTTAAGAGCACCCAGTGTTTTATTTTTGTCACCTAGCAGATTCCTCAAAAAGAATGAGATATAACTTTCTCCTTGCTCCTTTCAATAAGGGTAACCCAGCCTTGAGGCATTAATGTCTGGATTCCCTTGACCCAGGGAAGAATGAAGAGCCTTTTCATGTTCCCTGGCCGAAAGGGACGTGGTCTGAGGCGGGAGTTGGGCTCCATCACTCATGCTTTCATCTGGGGGGACCTTGGTCCAGCCAATATGTGAGACATACTTTGAACAACAATAAAAAATAAATAAATAAAAATAAAATAAAATACTTTACGGGGGGGGGAGTATTTCTTGTTTATCTAAATGAACTTCAAATTTAACTGGGCATCCCTACCCTAGAGGGGCAGGCATTGGAAGGAGGTGTGGCTTAGAAGGACACAGAAAGGAGTGATCTGCCCCTATGGTGTTTGTCAAATGCTTGAAGAATGAAGGGAAAATTATGAAAAAAGAAGGCAGATACTCGGGCTTTGCTGGAACCCAGCACCAACTGCTGACAGGTAGATAGCTAGCCTGAGTCTGAGAAAAGGGCCACTGGGCAGGAAGTGACATCTCTAGAGCCAGCCCCAGGCAGCAGTGGCCCAAAGAGGCTCCACTGCAGCCCAGGGCCTTTGCACTGTCCAGAGGAACCAAGAGCATTACACATTCTTGTGAATCTTGGCAGATGAAGATTTGAGGGGGAGGGAGTAGAAAGAAAGATATTTCTTACAGCTGTAAGCATCCACGTCTATTACATACACAAAGTGCTTAGGAGAGTGGCTGACACAGAACAGATGACTCATAAATGGTAGATATTATGAACATTATGATCAGCCAGGGCAGAATTCTGCTAAAAATGTCCCAACTTCTATTTACCTCTAAGTTACCCCCAACTCCTCTATATTTTGGGCTGATTTTCCTAGTCCAGGTTTATTTTTAGCTGCTATGCAGTCTGGGAAATAAACCAACTCTCAAGTCTTTATACTCTTTGTGAATTAAGAGAGAAAAGGAGCCTTCTCTCCTTTCCTATGGAATAGAGGTAAGGGGTGCACAAGGAAATGAAGTTCATATTTAACAATTTTGTTCCTCATTCCTAGGACAGAGAAAGAGACTAAAAATATAGGCCAAAGGAAAAAAATGGGGATTTATTTATTTTAAGTCTCTAGACCTCAGCACAAGTAATGAAAAAATTACAAGATCATTAGTAATTGTTAAAAAAACAAAACCTCAGTCATTTTCCCCTAAAGATATAATCACAACCTTGAATTTTTAAGTTAATTATCTACATTTCAAGTTGTCATCTCCTTTCTATAATTCTGACTGGAATCTAAGAAATACTAGCATGGGTGGACAAAAATAGACAAGTAGACAGACAGAGAAAAAGATATTTATTATAACAGCCAGTAAGTCGCAAATTTGGGATTTAAAAATTCAGGCAACTTGACTCCAAGGTACACATATTTTACTGCTGTTTTTTTTTTTCTGGTTTGTTTGTTTTAACTGCGTACACAGTAGGAGGTCTCCTAACTAACCTCCTCTTAAGTGGCTCCCCAGGTAACCAACATTCTCCCTTCCCTCTGCAACACATGAGCAATGCACTGAATACCCTCCCCCTGGACGCTCCCAATTGAACACCACAAAGCTCTGCTTTGCTCAGTGGAAGAATAAGCTTACCAAGGGCAACATGGGTCTGTCCCTAGCCTGTTTATGGCAGTTTTGTTATTATAATTACATAGCAAATCAAATACTGTGCAAATCAGTAGGATATGAGTGTGAATAAAAGAGGTTTATTGCATCCATGAAAACCAGGTTAACTGCTGAGAAAAACCAATAGAGGCTAGTTGTTATCAAAGAAATTGTTGGTGTACTAGATAGCACTATAAAAGATTGAATTTTTGAGATCATGAAAATCAGTATTTCTGTACTCATGTTGTTTCAAAAGTGGCTAAGTTATCTTCTCATTGTAAAGAAACTGGAAACTATAGAAAACACATTTTTGAGTGATGGATGAAGAAAATACTCAGAATTCCAGTCAGCAGGGCTCATATTCAAAGAAGGATTGGCCCTTCACAAAAGATTCGGAAATTGGTCATTTTATTTTTTAAGTCAAAAGTATAAAATTTCAAGAACATTTGTATCTTTTTAGAAATAATTTCCTGCTTTATGTGGCTTAAGATTTGGTCAATCCATACTCAGATCCCTAGAGCTTCTACTGTAAATATACATATGTTGTCATCTAGCTGTTAAAGTGGGTGAGGGGTAAGACAGGAAGAGGGGGGAGTATTCACTATGCACTTCGCACCCTTCTGCAGTTTGGAATCAAGACGAAATAACCTTAATTTTATAAGTTTTGTGTTTCTGTTTTTTAATAAATTGACTTCAAAATCTTTTCTTGGATGGGGCATGGTGGGGAGTAGAGGAGGTGAGTAGGTGTATGGAGCAAGCAGAGTAAAGATAAAAATATATATATATACATATATATATATATATGTATATATATATATACACACACACATCACTGAAGGCTTGTGCCCCTTTACATTAACTTGTGCCCCTTTCTCTCTATATATATACATACACACAAAATTTGGAAGAGGTCCTCCTACCTTCTTGCAGGACTTTGCTCATCCCAGTAATGGAAACACTTCCACGCGCAATCTCAGGGCAGAGCTTGTTTTTAATCTTGCCTCCCACAGTGGAGAGTTGGAAAAAGGATTCCAGGGTGACGACATGCTTCGAAGGAGGATACGATGCTATCTTCTCCAGGTCCCCACTCTCTGAGGCAAGCTGGGTGCCCACTGTATAAATGGTAACCCCCGCACTGCGGAGGAGAGAGGCCGGTCTGGACACGTTGTCTTGGGAGAAGCCTTCCGTGATGACCACGGCTATCTGCTGCACACCTTGCCTGGACCGGCTGCCCTTCTCTGGAATGAAAACCTCATTCCTTAGGAAATCCAAAGCAGCACCAGTCTTGGTCCTTCCTATTTTTCCCTGGTAGGTTAATCTGTCCAAATGCTCCAAGATTTTGGCTGGAGTGTGAAATGCATCCAGTGGAAACTCAAGTCGTGGCTCCTCACTGTAGAAGACCAAGCCAACTCTCACACCATCGGGAAGAATGCTTAGAGAGCTGACGGTGGTCTTTAAGAAACTGACAGCTTGTTGGAAATTGAGTTGCCTATCCCTGCTAAAGTCCTCAATGAGGAATACTAAGTCAGCAGGGATAGCAGTTGGACATGCTATAAACAAACAAAAACAAACAGAAGGGCTTTAGCATGAGAACAGAATAGTAAAGACAACGTGTATTTTGTATATAAAAGTTATGCTATATTTTTATATACCACAATAATTATATATTTATTTTTATATACTGTAATATTTACTATTACAAATTGTAATAATATATATTATACTAATTTACATTAATACATTTTAGAATTTAGTGGAAGCCTTTATGACCATCATTTGGGGTGATGGTCAAAGAGCGTTACAGGGTTCATTCTTATCCCCAAATTTTTCACATGAAAGAGTATTCACATCACTTGCAAAATATGTAAATATATGTATATCCACAAGAAAGTGCCTTAAGGTCATTTTTCAATTCGCTGTGTCCATTAGAAGCATCTGAGCCTTGCTTGTCTAGTTTTTTCTCCATTTTTCTAGTTTCAGGAAACCCTGGGTCAAATTCCCTTTATAGGCCTGAAACCTCCTGGATTTAATAACTTTATGGGCCTGAAACCTCCTGGATTTAATAACTTTTCCTTTGTCCTGGTAGAAGATTGGGAATAGTAAATTGTGACCATTAACTTGTGCACCTTTCTCTATAAATTTCATGTTATTGCAGCAGAGGCAACATGAAATATCACAAGTTCCTGTCAAAAATCTTTGTTCAAAAATTGGGCTTAATGGCTGTTTTATTTTGCTATAAAAGAATCTTCCCTCCAACCTGCCTTTAATGGGGTAGTGGAGCTATGACCGCATTAAACTCCTGTCTAAGAGAAGTCCAAACACCTCTCTCACAATTTAAGGCAGTGCCTACTATAAAACAAACAAACAAACAAACAAAAACAGCCCACTGTGTCCACATACCAAAAAGGTCCAAATCTGCTTGGATGTAGGAAAAAATAAAAATCTCCCTAGCAGAGAGCCAAAACCACATATGCAGGAGGCTGAAACCAGTGTGTAGACAGTTGAATATCATGAAACAAAGTTTGGAGACCAGCATATAGGGCCAACAGAATGATCCTTTGACTTATCTTTGGTCTCTTGGTATCCTAAAATTCTCCCTCTTGGGTCCTTTTTTACAAAGAACCAAAAATCAATCCTAGATTTTAAAAAAGGGAGTTGCCCCTATTTTAGCCAAGTCTAAAACACCTTCTGTAGAAACTCCAAGCATCCCTAACAGCTCGCCTTCTTCACCTGCTGGTACCAAGCACTATTATCTTCTTTTCAGGCCGTCATCAGGATTAGTGCCCTTTCCTCATTATCAGAGCCACCAATGGCTAGACCCAGGCATCCTCCCTATATGGACAGCCTCAAAGTCCTTCTGAGTCGGAGGTGTCACATGGAATCCAGCCTGCACGCTGAAGGCTTCCTTAAAGACCATTTTGATCATGTCATTTTTTTTCCTGCTTAAAAGCCTACTGCCACTTCCCAGTGCCTTTAGGTCCCCATAATCAGGGTTCATTCTACCTAATCTAATCTCATCCTTTGCTACTTCTAAATCTTCCCCCAATCCCAATTAGCTCCATTTTTTCACCTTCTTTCACATTCACCCAGCCCATTCCTACTTCCACACCCTTACTCATGCTCTTCCCCTTACCAAGAGTACCTTCCTCCCTTCTGCCTACACATTAAAATTACACCCATTATTGAGGGGCCAACACAGCTTCTCCCAGGTTCTCCATGACACCCTCCTTCTGTTCTTTTTCTACTTGATACAGTGTCTGCAAGGTGCTTATTAATTCTTTATTAGCTCGACTTGGATTTTCCTCTTCTTGTCTCACATATGTGTTTGTCTTTTCCACCTATAAAATTCCAAACACCCTCAAGCTCTAGATGTTGAGAGGTCTGGGCAGAGCTATGAAAGTTCAGAGATAGTAGAGACGGATTACCTTCTAGTTGTGGGGATATAGAAGCTACACCAAGCTTCTAGCTGTGGGGATGCTCCACAAAAAAAGGTAACTTAAGAACTAGAGGGTGGCCTGGCAGGGCGTGGCTCAGCGGTTGAGTGTCGACCTAGGATCCAGGTGATCGGGGTTCGATTCCCAGTCAGGGTGCATGCCCGGGTTGTGGGCTCGATCCCCAGGGGGGGCGTGCAGGAGGCAGCCGATCAATGACTCTCTCATCATTGATGTTTCTATCTCTCTATCCCTCTCCTTTCCTCTCTCTGAAATCAATAGATATATTTTTTTTAAAAACAAAAAAACTAGAGGATGAAGTTTTCACTATGGGTATTCCAGGCTGACGGTACAGCGTATTCAGGGCAGAGACAAAGGTGGGAAAGAATTACACATACACAGCAAATGGTGGGTAGTTCAGCTTGGCTAGTGGTTAGAATGTATAAAAGAACTTAGCAGGAGTTAAGGCTCAGTGATCCTCGACCAACAGTGGTATCTATCCCCAAAGGGCATTTGGAAATATATAGTGGTGTTTTGAATTGTCNTGGAGTTAAGGCTCAGTGATCCTCAACCAACAGTGGTATCCATCCCCAAAGGGCATTTGGAAATATATAGTGGTGTTTTGGATTGTCATAAGGTTCAGGGATGTTCCTGGCAGGGACCAGGAATATTAGGCCTCTAGCAATGCAAAGGACAATCCTACAGTATGAATTTTCCCACCCCAAATACCAGTAGCATCTCCTTTGAGTGTTTTGAATGCCAATCTAGGGAAGGACTTTATTTAATCTCTGGGGAGAACCTTGAATTCTCCTGGAAAAGGCATATGGTAACATGGATTATTGTTCAGAAATATTTACTCCCTACACCTTACTTCCCTGATAGAAATATACTTTCTTGCTCCATTCATGATTCCATGGCCATATGACTTGTTTTGGCCAATGGAATGTTAGCAGATGATAAAGCAGAGGTCTCAAAAGTGCTTATGCAGTTGGGTTTTCTCTCTTGAAACTCTACAATTACCATAGGAAGAATATGCCTAGATTAGCGTAATAATGCCAGGAAGAAGAAAGCCATGGGGCATAGCCAAATGGAGATCAGCCAACCCTCAGCCAAATCCCAAATCTGTGAATAAGCCCAGAAAAGATTAGCAAGGCCATTCGGTTGAACCCAAAGAAGATTAGCTGAGCCCCAGCAGAGCTGTGAAAATAAATAATTATTTTCATTCACTGCCTTTTTGGATGACTTGTTATGCAGCATCATTGTGACTATAGTTAACTAATACAAGGTTTGTGCCTGAAGCAGTTCCATGCCCCTCCCCTTCCCCATCCACCTGGGCTAGTGCGCCAGTGCTGAGGAATCCAGAATACCCCCCTTCTCTGCCCTTTCCCCAGACTTTCCTGCTATGCTGAAACTTCTCAGTGGCTCACACACCTAGAGACCAAACCTTACCTACTGTAGTCTCCTTCTCGGCCTCTGTCCTGAACTCGGGCTGCCCAGTCCCTTGGATCACCATACTCACATCTTGCATCACCTGTCTGCCTCCATCTTGTCCTTGCATCTGATATACAAGGGGTGGGGTCCCGATCCCCTCCAGTTCTCTTCTGTCAAAGTCCTGTATACCCACAGACATGACTTTCACGCCTTTCTTCCTCAATGTCTGTGCGGCATCCCAGACCTCATCCTCAGATTTGCCTGATGTAATGACCACTGCATATTGGGGAATGCCCTGGAGAAACCGGCTTCCCGCTGCCTCCTGGAAGAAGGTCTGATGAAGGTATCGCAGAGCTTTGCCAGTTCTCCTGGAGCCACCCCGGGAGACAAAGTGTTCATGGATGTGAGCAATCATCTGATCCTGGCTCTGGTAGGTATTGAGCAAAAATTCAGTATGACCTTGACCCCCATACTGAGCCAGCCCAATCTGGTACTTGTTTCTGCCAACATCTAATAAGTCAACCACTCTGGAGATGAAATTCCGCATCCACTGGAAACTAGCCTGTGATGTGTTCTGTGAGGTGTCGGCAAGGAAGACCACATCTGCATAGGCCTGGGTGAATTCTGGAATTGAAGAGAGAAAGGGGGAGGGAAAGACACAGAAGACAAAGTAAATCAAATTAAGATCTCATGGATATTGAATGTGGTTTTGTGGGGGGGGGCATAAGAGGAAGAGGTACTCTATATACGTAACATTGTACATGTTGTACTTTCACCTCCGCCACGTGAGACTGTCACAAGGCTCTCTCCCTCTTAGACTCTTCCAATTATTCTTTCACCAATGAAGGAGACAAGGGAAGTTGACTTATACTGAGCAGTTACTTTGTGCTAGAGATTTTTATGTACTCTATCTGATTTAGTCCTCATAAACCATCCTACTAGACAAGTATTATTATCTTCATTGTGCAGATGAGAAAACTGAAGTGAAGCTTAACTGCTTGTCCATGCTCACAGAACTAGAAAGTAGCAAAGGCAGAATTAAAAAAAAACATGTCTTCTGGACTTCAAAACCCACACTGTTTCCTCTTACCAATATGGCAGGGTGTTCTTTTCTACCCATGAGAACTTCATTCACCCTTCAATCCCCAGCTCAGGTGTTCCTTCATCTAGCAAGTCTCCCCCGGGTTCTCCAGGGATAGCGGGCAGCTCCTTCTCCTACCTTCCACTGCGCTCAGTGTATCCTGGATCATATTGTAATTAGGCACCATGGTTGGAATGTTGGGTTCGACACAGCTTCTTACCTCTTATTTTATGCTCCACTGCTGAGCACAGTGACTGAAGAATGCTTCCTGAGACATCCTGCAGGATGTTGAAGTTTTCAGTGTTAAAGAGAAACTTCTCAAATGGTTTGCTGGCTATTTTTTGCAACTCCTGGACATCCTGGACATTGATGCCTACCACATACACAACAACACCATCTTCCTTCAACCTGTCAGCTGCCTCCTGGGCTTCATCATTTGACTCCCCATCTGTCACCAGAATAACTATCTGAGGAACCCTGTCCTTGGCCCGGCTGCCAGCCGACTCAGTCAAGTAGTTGGTCCTGATAAACTCCAGGGCAGCCCCTGTGTTGGTGCCTCCTGTACGGTAGGGCAGATTCTGGATATGCTCCAGGACCACACTCTTCAGAAGGTACTGGTTCAGCTGAAAGGCTGGGAAGGTGTTGTCATTATACTGAGCGAGGCCCACTCGGACCTGGTCACCACTGATGTCAAGCCCCAAGACGACAGAGCGAAGGAAGTTCTTCACTTTCTGGAAGTTCTGGGGTCCGATGCTGGTTGAGCTGTCTACTAGAAAGACAATATCCGCCAGGACTGCTTCTCTGCAAGCTGCAACAGAGAGAACAAAAGGGACAGTCTGTGGACCTTCACTCAAAATGCTTAGAACCCTTGGAGTCAAAAGGTGTACAAAAAGGGAGAGCAATGCCAGGCAACCTATACTCAGTGGTCCTTAATACCCCGAGTGACACTGTGCTCAGAAAAGCAACAGCATCCCCTGTGCCTTTCCTTCCCTCCACTCCGTCAACTTCTGAGACTTCCATTGTGCTCAGCTGATACCTCCAACCTTGAAATCCACTTAGACAATCCCTTAACTCTCTTTAAGAGAAAGACACTTCTCTAAATGTAGCAGCATGCTGAGAACAGGGATGTACTCTCTCCAGTGGGAATAAACTTCATCTCTAGGAGTGTGCTGGCACTAACGGGTCAGAAAGCTGGAATGTATCCCAGGTTCAATGATACATTTCACTGTAGCTCTACCACTTAGCAGCCCTGTGACCTATTTATCACTCACCTCTATGAGACTCAAGTTTCTCTCTACAGCACTGAAATCTTTATACCAGCCCTCACAATCTCATGAGATTGTTTTGAGGATAAGATAATCTACTGTAGCAGACAAGATCAGTGTTCTGCCCAGGTCCTTTTGGATCCATTTTTACTATTTCTTTACACTGATCTTTGGAGAACTTCTCTTCAGGTACTGGAGCTGTTTTGCCTACAATATATGAAAGCCTAGCTCCTTGCCTTGGGTCAAGACAGCCCTGAGTTCCATAACAAATAATATACATTCAAATCCTTGTCTCAGGCTCTGTTCCTGGGGACACAATCTAAGACACCTTTCTATTGAAGTGGATCTGCTCTGAAAGACTTGAGATCAAGTCCTAGCTTTGCCATCAGTTATGTTACCTTTAGCCTCAGTTTCCTTACATGAAAAATGGAAATAATAATACTAATTGCCCTATGTATCTAACAAAAATCACATTAGGTATCTATCTACCAGATGGGCAATGCAAACAAGTTTTGAAAACTACATAGCTCCAAGAAAACTAGTTATTACTATGTATGTAAAGCCTCTTTGTACATCTGGAAGTACTATGCAAAAGTAAGATATATAAGTTGGTTGAACAAATGCAATATTACCACTGCACACCTGTGGAATCAAACGGTTCATAAGTTTTAGGTCTTCTTCCAATTCGCCCACCCTATGTAGAAATATCAAATTAAAGAATAAGAAATGAAGGCGCTATCCTCTAGGGGATTTTGATGGAACCCACAAACAATCTCCTCTTTCTCTGTTAAAAGTTCTGTGCTTTCTAGTAAAGTTTAGTAATTGCTGTATAAAGAATTTTCACCAGTTTATGCCCCATCACCACTAACAGAAGTACAAAGCTGATGACAAGTTTATCATCACAGACAATGATTGTAATGCTTATGGGCATCTCCGATGGGCTAAGCACTGTGATAAGCACCTTACATAACTTTCATGCTTTCAACAACTCTCTGAGGCAGATACTATCATCCTAGAAAGAAAATTTATAGATTCAGAGAGATAAGGCAACATGTTCAAGATGACACCTTCAGAAAGTGGAGAATGGGGATTTGAACCCAGATCTTTCTTTTCCCTAAATTCATCCTCTTAACCAGTACATTACAACAACATACTAGCAGTAAAATAAGCTGGCTTCCTGGTAGTAAAAAAGCCATAGATCCTCTTGGGGCCTCTATGTCCCTTTCCCCTCCTCTGCCCTCCATCCAGGCACTATGGGTAAATTAATCTAGGAATAATAATACCATAGGAACAAATGTTTCTTTCATCAAAAATGGACTTATACTACATGACTTTATAGAACCAGCATAAAGCCCACAGGATTTAAAAAAAAAAAAAAAAAGGAGAGAGAGAGTTGATTAGTTTAGATCCATGATTGGAGAAGAGCATAGAGTACAGATGGCTTAGCAAAATTTGAATGTTAAAATCAAATACTCACACATATGGAAAATAAGAAGGATAGTGCACGGGATGAATTAGAGATAAGGCCTTGAGTTCTGTGACTTCTAAATCAGAAATAAGAAGGGAAAAGACTTTGTACCTGGAGAGACGTGGTCAACAGGTTGAGCTGCATTTGCCAAAGTATTGCAGAGCTCCTTCTGCAGCTTCTGGGTGAGGCTGCCCAGATGAGAGAAGCTGGGAACTAAAAAGGCAAACTTCTCCACAGGACGGCTGGCAATCTCCCTGAGCTCTGCTGAAGCTGCATCTCCGACACCAATGGCATAGAGCAGGATGCCAGCCCTCCTAAATGCCTCAGCAGGTACCTGTACAGGGTCCTGGGCTGGGCTGCTGCTGATGACCACGGTGACCTGAGGCACTCCCCGGCTAGCCCGGCTCCCTGCTGCTTCTTGGAAGTGGTGATCTAGAAGGAACTGCAGGGCCAGGCCCATCTTGCTGCCTCCAGTACCCCCAGGTTTCAATGGAAACCTCCGGATGTGCCTCAACACATCACTTTTGTGGTGGTACGTGGAAAGTAGGAACTCCGAATGGGCCACGTCGCTGTACTGGGCCAGCCCCACACGGATGTTCTCTCTGCTCACATTGAAGCTGTTCACCATGGTGTACAAGAAGTTCCGCACATTGCGGGTGTATCGGGGGTTGATATTTGTGTCCATTAGAAACACAACATCTCCCACAGAGGCCTGGCTGCAGACTGGGGAAGAGAGTCAATTTAAAATAAAACATTACAAAATTGACAGCTACTGGCTGTAAATACTTCTCTCCCAAATTAGTGCCTTTACAACCCACAGGCCTGCCTGCACAGCTCTCCCATGTTAGCTAACATGCATATGGCCTAAGCACACGATCATCTTGGCTTCTTCATGGCCACCATCTACCCTTGTTCACCTGCCACCCTCTGTTCCAATCTAACTTTTGACCCTTCAACTATATCCCTGGCCATGGCCCTCCATTCATCCCTTAAACTTAATAAAAGAAACCAGGGAAACAAAAGAAGTAAACAAATGGGACTACATCAAACTAAATCGTTTTTGCACAGCAAAGGAAACCATCGACAAAAAGAAAAGACATCCTACTGAATGGGAGAACATATTTACCAGGGATATGCGTCCAATAAGGGGTTACTATCCCAAAATACATAAGGAGCTCATACGACTTTACACTAACACCAAACAATACAATTAAAAAATGAGTTGAGGATCTGAATAGACATTTCTCCAAAGAGGACATAGAGATGGTCAATAGACATATGAAAAGATGCTCAGCACACTAATCATCAGATAAATTCAAATTAAAACCTCAATGAGCCCGGCCTGGCGTGGCTCAGCGGTTGAGCGTCAACCTAGGATCCAGGCGATCGGGGTTTGATTCCCGGTCAGGGCACATGCCCGGGCTGCGGGTCCGATCCCCAGTCGGGGGCGTGCAGGAGGCGGCTGATCGATGACTCTCTTATCATTGATGTTTCTGTCTCTCTCTCTCCCTCTCCTTTCCTCTCTCTGAAATCAATAAAGATTTTTTTTTTTTTAATTAAAAAAAAACCAAACACCTCAATGAGATTATCACCTCACACCTGCCCCCCTTGTCTTAACTGAAACAATGTCATGGTGCTATTTGTGCTCTAGTATCACCCATGACTCAGGCCAAGGCTTGATTTTTACCTGAGGCTACATCCTTGTTTCATTTCTTCCCCTGTCTCAACTTCTCTCACTCCCTTACAGATTTGTCCTAAAGAGTACTCCCTCCCAGTAACATGTTCACCAAATCCCTGTTCTGGGCTCTGTTTCTAGAGAACTTGACCAAAGACATCATCCAAGTGGATTCATGATTATTGAAAACGCAGATAATATATGAGCTTAAAGTCCTTTAAGCTTTATTTCCCTTTGGCCCTCCCAAATGCAATCCTGTTAGGAGGAGAGAATTCAGTGAGTGTTCCTGGGGTGGCTAACTGGTTTGTCCCCTTAACATCTCTTTCAGAAGAGATCACACACAGACCATGAAGTGGTTTTTTAATCTTCCCAATCAGGGGAAACCTCACAGCTGTAGAACATTTTTCAGGCAAATAAGTATTGCTTTCATCATGTGCAACTTGAGAGATGTATTACATTTTCATGCAGTGTTACTTTCTTAACCTCTCCACTAGCTTTTTGTCATTTGAGGAGGTGTTTGGAACATGAAAAGACTGACTGTCACATTTTCTGTTTACAAATGAGAGGAGTCAGAGCCAAAGGGAAAATTCGGAGAGCTTCATATCATTTTTCCAACAAATAACAGTCTGTGTAATTATACGTGAATATTTAAAACTCAATATTGTCTCAGTGGGGCTTCAGACTACTCAAGCATTCTTCTCTTGGTGAGACTTTCATCTTGAAAAGTCCCAACAATCTGTTAAAGTGACTGCAAAAAATTTCAGAGTTGTCACTAGCATTTGGTAAATTGCTACCCATCTTGTGATGACAATCACCCCCAGGAATAGCTCTGCCAAAGGAAACAAAGCAAAATGCAGAATCAATAGACTAGTCTCAGGTTTACAAAAGCTTTTGAGAACCTGGTAATACATTCAGAAGTATAGTATTTTTTACTATCTATTTTTTGTCATTTGAAGTTAAGGCCTGAGAAAAACAAGGATTTATGTTCATTAAAAGCTTCCAGATTCTAAGTTCTTTTTAAAGAACCATTTCCTTTTTGTTAATTATGACACTCCTGTAATATTTTAAGACTGTCACTACCATTAGGTTCCTGTCAAGGTCATCATTTTTTACTTAAGAATACAATGTATTACCAATTCTCTGTGACTTGATGAAGCCAAAACTAGCTGCAAGGAAGATGACCCTCCAAAATGTCTTCCAAGTCTCCATTCTAGATGTGTACCTAGAGAGAAAAAGAAACCTCATAATTAAAATTGTCTCCATACACTTAAAATGTATGCATCATATTATATGTTAATTATGTCAAAAAATTTGATTTTTTTTTTTTAAGTCCAATTATGTCTTTTCCCAGATGAAACTTTATAAAAATAAAGAAGGACATTTACACCATGGAATACTACTCAGCCATAAAAAAAAAAAAAGATCTTACCTATTGTGACAGCATGGATAGACCTAGAGAACATTATGCTAAGTGAAATAAGCCAGTCAGAGAAAGACAAATACCATATTACTTCACTTATATGTGGACTCTAATGAACAAAATAAAATGATGAACAAAATAGAAACTTAGATACATGGTACAGAAGGGGGTTTGGGGAACTGGATAAAAGAAGGTGAAGGAATTAAGGGGAAAAAACATATATATACACACATATATATGACACACACATAGACCATGCAACAGTGTGGTGATAGCCAGAGAGATAGGGGTGGTGGGGGGTAGGTGGANAGGTGGGCAAAGGGGGGGCAAATGGGTACGGAAAGAGACTTTGCTTGGGGTGATGGGGATATGATGCAGTGTGCAGATGACGTTTTATTGAGTTGTATACTTGAAAACTCTATGGCTCTGCGATCCAATGTCACCCCAATAAACTCAATTAAAATAAAAGAAATGACAAAAAGATAAAAATAAAAAAGGACACACTGCCACACTGTTTCAAAGAAAACGGTCTTGCTGACCCAACTCAGGAAGAATTCTGTAAACATCCGGAGTGTATACCTCAGACTTCCCTGTTTAAAATTGTCCAGATATGACCATAAGAGGAGAAAGTATATAGGGCCTGGGAAGAACTTCTGTTTCCCACAATAAATTTCTTTGCTGGAACATAAACATTCCTGGATGATTTTGCTGGTATTTTTATACAAGCATTGGATGACCTGATAAACATTTATGGCATGAAGAAATAGTCAAATCTCTCAGGAGCACATCTGCCTGATAAAATCAGCCTAGCCTGAAAATATTTTATATGTTCCCAGGAGAAGCAGAGCATCAGACTTTCTGCTCCTAAACTTGGATCTAGTTCCAAAGACCCCCATGGAAATCACCCACTCCCAGTTCCATTTCTGTTTTTTGCTCTAAGTCTATGTGTTTAAAAATGAGAACACAGCAGTTGAATGAGATGTTCCAACTGAACAGAGAACACCTCGCCTTTATCTTCGTAGCCAGGCAACCTCACAGCCATTCTCAGCAGAGTGCAGGAACAAAAGTATTCTTGGAGAAAGACTGCCTGGGTTTCAATCTAAGATCCACTACTTAATAGTTAATCTTGAGCAAGTTGTTTCAGGTCTTTGTGTGTCCGGTTCCCCATTTGTAAAAAGGAGGCAATGATAGCATCTATCTCAGAATCTTGTAATCAGGATTAAGTGAGCTCATTATTATAAAACACTAGACTCATGCCTGACACATAGCACTCTTTAAGTGTTTGTTAAATAGAAAACATCTTCTTAAAAACCCACTATGTAAAAGTAAAAAAGTACTTCCTCTTCATTGGAAACTCAGAATCTGAAGAAGTAGAGGAACACTAATACTTTGCATTGTGTATTAATAAAGCAGTTATTTTGTTTTATGTGTTTTGATTCATATTTTTAATTTAATTCATTTACTTTTCACTTTGATCACTGTTTATAAATTACAATGCTAATACCTTCATGTTCCTCAGCTCAAACCTGGGAATGGCCAGCAGAGCAAACCTTACTCTGCTCATTTCATTGAGGGAAACAAAGAAATCGGGTCCCAAACATTAAATAGTATACCAGAGCTACATAGCTATGCACTGTCAGGTTCTGTCCCAGGTAACCTGACTCCAGGTCCTGGGTGCATGCCTGGACCTCAAACATCTGCTTCAGACCCTTCAATGAAAATCTTTAAGTTCAGACTGTCAGTCAGCTCCCCAGGGTCCACTTCATGTAAAATGAAGACCTGTGAGCAGTTTACCCTGGGGTAAGAATATGAACTTCAGACCTAAGTTCCTTTACCCACCAACTAGGTCTTCAAAGAGCAGTCTTGCGTCTAAAACACTGCATTTGGTGCTCCAGAGAATGGAGTGACAAACTTTGCTCTTGTGTTTAGAGAACTGAACAATCTATTTGGACAGAGAGAAATTTTACACCCCAGAAGTGATAAGAAATTCAGTAAATTCTAAGGATCATTCTTTAAACTTATCAAAGAGTTTAAGCAAGAGTCTCTGTATCTAAATCACTTTTCAGTCTTGGATCTTTAAAGCAGAATATTGTATGGAAATGATATCGTGATGCCCAAAAATAGCAGCCACCCAACAATTGAGATCTTCTTTTCAGAATGTGTACATGTAGTCACCCTGCTTCCCAGAGGACACATTTCTGCTGTGCATGCTTAATTTACTCCTTAAGAGTGACTCAAGGATACACATCTATTTTTATTCTATGCCAGCAGAAGATACCGGGAAAAGTCACGACTTCAAAGGAAGCCCACAGGCCTTGATTCTGCCTCAGCTTGACCACTTGCTCTGTGTGCACTTAAGCAAGCTGGTTCACCTTTCAAGGTTTATGTGATGACTCAGAGGGCCTGGTGCTGATCTGAGACACCTACTAAATTGTCCACTATATTGCAAGCATTCCCCAAGGAATTGGTCCAGTGATTTTCCAAAACACAGATGGGATATAATTGTATTTCTCTGTCCCTCAGTTTCTACTTCAACTTCCCATTAATGCCTTCTCAAGAAGGCATATAAGTAATTTGAGGAGAGATAATTTAAGATTATAAATATCCTATTCCCAACAAGCTTTCATCTAAATGCAAGTAAATGAACGCATGAATCTTAAAGAATAGACTGTTCTAAGGACAGTATGGAAGGAAAGACCGTGAGAGTTTGACAGTGCCAGAAAAAATAATCTAAAATAAATTCATACATTATGATTATTACTACATTACAATAAAATACTATATTTCAACTTTTTTGAGTACTCATTTACTCATTACCTTTAATATAATTTATTTAATTTTAAGTTTATGTAATGTTATTTTAAACTGTATGTACTTAACAACTAGCCTGCAGAGTTCCTAAAAATTTAACTATCAGCTCTCACAAGCTAGTAAGCTGGTTCCACACACCACTGCATACTTCAACTTTTGAAAGTCTTGGGTTAATAAAGTTAGATGAAATATAGAAGTAGAGTATCTACATTTTATATTTCATTATGCCTTAATTATTAGTATAATGCAATAAATCATAAGAAATGAAAAGTATTTTTAGTTAGTTGTAAATAAAGCACCAGGGATGTTTATGGAAATTGAGTGGGAAAGTCAAAAGTTTATAAACATTTTACAGCTGTTCATATGTGTGTGTTATATCAACAAAGAGAAAAATGTCTGTATGTTAAGGGCTTACTATCTATATTATATATACTATTCCATGAAGATGTTTATATCGAATTTAAGCTGCTAAAGGGGTTTTGCATTTGAACATGTAAGGCCCATCATGGAGACAAAAAAATTAAGCCATTAAATGAAGGGCAATTAGGTAGGTATAGCATCGGATACCAATTCTTTCTGGAAATAATTCTAATGGGTTTGGGGTAGAGAGCGACTTCTCTCAAAGTATGCTGCTTTAAATAGTTAACTCGTTAGGATAATTTATTTTTTTAAGATAATTTTATTTGTTCAATTAAAACAATTACTTTGCACCCACTATAGTAATAATTGATTCAGGAAAGAATCATTAAGAGATGCTAAAACCATTGGTTAAAAGTATGTTGGAAAACAGGATTTTAACACAGTCTCAAAATATCCCCTCACAAATCACTTGGAGAAAATCAAGTGTCTATTATCAACTGAGTGGGGAAAGGGAAGAGATGATCAACTTAAAAATTTTTTCTTCACATTTCTGTGACTGAGAGGTAGAAGATGCAATATATTTGGATGAAAGGCCCAATGCAAATATGCAAAATTAACTTAACACATTTTTAAATTTAATTCCTAATTATACTTTACTCTGAAATCCAAAACTATGCCCACCCCCCCACCACCACTTACTGGTCACTTAGGGTACTTTAAGCACCGTAGATTTGGCTTTCCAACCAAAGTGTATCACATCTGGGCAATAGGAAACTCCAGGAGGCAAACAATTGGGGAACATAAACAGAGTTTTTTGTATACAACATGTTAAAAACCACACAGCATGTCTGAGAGTTAAAAGAAACTAAAGGTTAGCCTTAACCTTTTGCATAAATATTAACATTTACTTTCTGTGCCCATTCACAAATCTTGTGAGTGCTTGGATATATATACAACTTTTTGCAAAATATTTGAGAGAGGCTGTGTCAAACATTTCAATGACAATTAATGTGTCATTAGGCTCCAAAAGAAAAATGTAACAAGATGCAGAGCCTCAGAGTATTCCACCAGGGAGAGGTAAAGGTGACAATGCCACAGTTCAGCAAAGTAATAAGTGGGTGCTGATGGCCATGATACCCTCGTCAGCTCTGGTAATTACAAAATCCACACACAGTTAATTTGTGAGATGTTTAAAATTTTGGAACTGAACAAAATCTCAGCTGTTGGGCATTTAAAAACCATCCTAGGCTCTCTTCATATCTTGATTCACCTAGTTTTCCAAAACTTCTGGTTCACACATCAATTACATCATTTGCCATATTGCATTGTCATTGCCTGCTTAATTGTTTGTTCCCTCACTGGTCTGTGAACACATAGAGGGTGGAGACTTGGTCTGAGAAATCATTGTAGTGCTGGATGCATTGAAGCCAACTAATAAGTCTTTCCTTTTATGCTCATTATATAAATGGTTGAATGATTTAATCCAATGGAAAAAATATTTACTCAAACTCTTTCAACTTATGTGTGGTTTATAAACTCCATCCCCCCAGCATTTCATGAGCTTGGTCTCACAGGGAAATAGGAATAACTCCCCTATCTTTCTGAGATGTCTCATTCAGGAA